CCCTTCTGCAGGAGGACATCTCTAGACTTCGAAGAAAGCTGGAGACCACGAAGAAACCAGACAATGGACCCAAGTGTGATGAGATTCTGATGGAGGAGATTAAGGATTACAAGGTTAGAAAATCTGCCTCAGTGATTGCTGTGTGGCTTTTGTTTTTCAGGGTTTTTTTTGTGAGTCAGGGCCTGAAGTGGCCTACTAATAGCTAGGGAGAATAAATATGAACTTCTGTACGTGAAGGTAACCAGAGAATGGTTTATTTTGTGGGGGGAAATGGTACTTTTGCCTTAGTGCTTGGTGGATCTTGTTTGCTTATGTATGAGAGCCCTTTGGATCATTAACCTTTATGGTTGCTCAGACTTTGACTTCTTTCTTTTTTAGGCACGCCTGACCTGTCCGTGTTGCAACATGCGTAAAAAGGATGCTGTCCTTACCAAGTGCTTTCACGTCTTCTGCTTTGAGTGTGTGAAGACTCGCTATGATACCCGCCAGCGCAAATGTCCCAAGTGTAATGCTGCCTTTGGTGCCAACGATTTCCATCGCATCTACATCGGTTGATCTAAGCCAGGAGAAGAGGAGGGGCTGGCTAGACAGCACTTAATCATTCACCATCAAACCTCTACCTCTTCTCTCCTGGACTGTCGCCTGTAGGCACTTTGTCAACAGTTGTCCTTCACAGACTTTCCATTGAGGTTCTCACTGATAGCTGGATGACATCAGGGGAAAGGACTGCTGAGTGCAAGTCTTGGCTTATAAAATGAATTAGAAACAACTCTTGTCTCCTTACTAGCCTTGTGTACTTCCTACTTTTAGGCTTTTCGACATTTTCTTCTTCAGGCTCATTCCACCTGAAGAAGTGAAGTTGGTATATTTGACATGGAGAAGGAAATAAAGAACAGAGGAGACACATGGCCATTTTGGGAGGGAGTGTATGCATGAGATCCTTTAGAAATAAGCTATCTATGGGCCCAAACATTTCTCAATTTAGATAGTGAACTTTTTGTAAACGTGGACTACATCCTATATAATAAAGAGCTAATATGCAAATGGTCAACACACCCTTGCGCCCTCGCGCCAGAACTGCTCAGACACTCAACACTGGGGAGAGAGGAATGGGGACCAGCCAGGCACAAATGAGCTGGGGAGAGAGGAATGGGGACCAGCCAGGCACAAATGAGCTGGGGAGAGAGGAATGGGGACCAGACAGGCACAAATGAGCTGGGGAGAGAGGAATGGGGACCAGCCAGGCACAAATCAGCTGGGGAGAGAGGAATGGGGACTAGCCAGGCACAAATGAGCTGGGGAGAGAGGAATGGGGACCAGCCAGGTACAAATGAGCTGGGGAGAGAGGAATGGGGACCAGCCAGGCACAAATGAGCTGGGGAGAGAGGAATGGGACCAGCCAGGCACAAATGAGCTCGGGAGAGAGGAATGGGGACCAGCCAGGCACAAATGAGCTCGGGAGAGAGGAATGGGGACCAGCCAGGCACAAATGAGCTGGGGAGAGAGGAATGGGGACCAGCCAGGCACAAATGAGCTGGGGAGAGAGGAAGGGGGACTAGCCAGGCACAAATGAGCTGGGGAGAGAGGAATGGGGACTAGCCAGGCACAAATGAGCGGGGGAGAGAGGAATGGGGACTAGCCAGGCACAAATGAGCGGGGGAGAGAGGAATGGGGACCAGCCAGGCACAAATGAGCTGGGGAGAGAGGAATGGGGACTAGCCAGGCACAAATGAGCTGGGGAGAGAGGAATGGGGACCAGCCAGGCACAAATGAGCTGGGGAGAGAGGAATGGGGACTAGCCAGGCTTCAGCCTGGGAGAGGGACAAGCTGCCCGCCCCCTAGACCTGGGCGCCAGTGGCTGCATCTGTGCCTGCAGCCCGGAAGAGGGACAAGCCGTCCGCCACGTGGTCCTGGGTGCCTGTGGCTGCAGCCTGGGTAAAGCTGCCTGCCCACGGTCTCCTGTGACTGTGCCCGGCCAGAGGGAGGGAAGCCCGGGTCCCGGGTGCCTGCAACCGACCAGAGGGGGGAATCCTGGGTCCAGGTGTGGGGCGAGGCACAGGCGGTTAGGGGCAATTAGGCCAGTAGGGGAGCAGTTAGGGGAGATTAGGCTGATAGGGGAGCAGTTAGGGGCGATCAGGCAGGCAGGCAGAGGTGGTTAGGGGCGGTCAGGCAGGCGAGCGGTTAGGAGCCAGCAGTCCTGGATTGCAAGAGGCAGTTGGACATCCCCTGAGGGGTCCTGGATTGGAGAGGGTACAGGCCAGGCTGAGGGGACCACCCGCCCCCCTCCCCCCACATGAATTTCATACACCGGGCCCCTAGTAATGTTATAATTGTGCTACTCTTTCCCAGATGGTTTGAAGCCTTAATGAATTATGTCCAGGATGACTCGATTCATTTTTATTGACCAGTGAAGTAACTTGTGAAGGTGAGCTGGCTTCCTTGTTGAAGTTTTGAATTTTCTGCACACATTAAAGTCTTTAAATTTCTTGAGGCCTATCAATTTCAGATACTGTAGCCCTTTCTATCTTAAAATCAAGATTGAAGAGGATGGGGTCAGGACTGAGATGGTGAAGAGGTCTGGGTACTCGGGGGACTCCATACAGTGAGGGGTAAGTGAGCTATGAATTTCTCTCAGCCTCTCCACAGGGAGAATTTCTTATCACCCTCTCCACGGAGGTTGTTGTGATCCCTGTTTTCCAGAAGATTCTCTCTAATCTTCCTGTAGGACTTTATATATTCCACAAGCTTCAATAAAGCAGGATTCAGTTTACTTTTATGCTTTTCTTTGAAACTTTGTATTTACCATTATTAGTTGATTTACACCTGCTGTTACAGAATTGAATTCTGTTGAACAGAAATCATCAATTTAGATTAAGGGGCCTACTGTGATTAAGTTATTTATTTCTTTGATTAATTGAAGTACTTTGTCCTGGTGGTTTTATTGGGTCTGTTCTGAGATGATGCCTAAAAAGATGATGGTTTTTTTGACTGTTCTGGGTTCTCTTTCACAGCTCACTGTTGGGTAAGAGACTGTGACTTGTTTTCCAGGGAGTTCTTTAAGTTGCAGGTTCTTGAATTTTAAGTTTTATTGTAACCAGGCAACCAGGAGTCATAAATCTGTGGCAAAGTGTTGCAAAAAATGGGTTCTTTCTGGATCACCACCTGTCCTAGGAGATGGGTCAGGACAGTCCTTTTGTGGTCACTACCTGTAACGAGCAGGACTTGTGATGACTTTCACAGTCATGGAGGATGGGTTCAGAAACGGGTTTAACTGGGGAATCTTACAGTATCACCAAGGAGGTCACGGTCCCTCAATCCCCGCACCTGCCTGTCCCAACACCACACACACACCCACCATGGGGTCAAGCCCTGTTGCTGGACACAGTGCATCTGCAGTCAGCAGTATGATACTTCCCATGGCTGCTCTGTGCTTTCAGGCCAATCCTGAGCATCACATTGTTGGTTTGGGGACAAATAGACTACTTGGGCAGCAGGTGGTTTGGGTTTAGATATTAACTGTTTATGACAGGTAGGTGCCAGGCACTGTGCTAAATATTAACTTCTTTTGTGAATAAAGAAATTGAGGAGTCAAGTTTCCTTCTACATTTTTTTCCTATTTCTAGGAAAACATGACTGACATCTTTGGAATCTAGACCATACGTGTTTGTCTATGTCTGTCTGTCTGTCTCTAAGTCCATCAGTCCTGATTAAAGGATGTCATGGCTAAGTCATTTCAAAACATCACAAAGCTAACTTCATTTGCTCACCGCCCTACAAACTAAATGCATGTGACTGACAGCCAGTTCCACCCAGTGGTGAGGATTCTCATCTTTTAAATATGTCCCTCTTCCGATTAAAATCCTTTAATGGTTCTTACAGTCTTTAGATACAAATCCGATTTAGCGCAGTGATCCTGTCTCTGCATTTCTCTTTTCTGTCCTTATAACTTGCCACTCACCTGTAGTTTATGTTTGTCATAATGAACTATTTGATGTTCCTAAGCTATCTGATTGCTGTAGTGTCCCAGCTCTGGAACTTTGTATATTTCTTTTACCTGGGTGGAGGGTTCCTGTTATCCACATGCACACACACACACACACATGCACACTACACAGAAGTATTGTCTCTGTTCCCATAGCACCTGGTGTTCGTTGCTTTATCAAAGTCCCTGCCACGTTGTTCTGCAAGTTTGATCTCCCAACAGACTGAGTTCCACAGGATTGGAATCTGCTTTTTTTATCTTTCCATCTCCAGCAGCTAGCCCCAATGCCTCGCTCAAAATCATCCAAAAAATGAATGACTGAATGATGCAAAACATCCTTGGGTAACTTGGTGGCTGAATTAGGTTATAGTAGGTCTATGTTTTTCTGAGATTTGACTTGGGTATATTACAAAAGAATGTGTGTGAAGAATGCGTCCAGCTAGCAGATTCATGACGGCAAGTTTGCCAGGGGCTAAAACTGCCCGAGTCGTCAGAGACAGCAAGATGCCTGAGACTGCAGGCCTGCCGAGCTGTGTTTGCAGCTGTGTTTATCAGGTCTTGGTTGGATGAGGAAGCGAAGAGATGCTTAAAACTATTTCTGTGAGACTCAGGCACTACAGTGTTGACAATGGACTAGTGCAGGTGCATTTACCACACCCGCTTCCCTCTGTGGAGCTGGGGCCAGGCTGATGCCGGGGCTGGGGCGAGATGGCGGAAAGACCAGGGGGCTTAGAGGAAAAAGAAGATATTGTAAGGCAACAATCAGAATCCTGACATTATAGTATGGGTGTTCCGGAAACAGCGCTGCCTACATAAGAATCTCCGCTACGACTGTCACAAGCTGTGTGGCCTTGGCAATGTCTGTAACTCCCTGACCCCTAGTTCTTCCATCTGTAAACCAGAGGTGTGGTTTACCCACTCTAGGCTAGGTCCAGACTTCATGTGTCAGGAAGGCGTTGGTACCACAGCAGCATCTGAATCCCCAAAGACAATGTCAGCAGTCCACTCGACAGCGAAGTCTCTATCTGAACATTTATTCCACAGTCATAGAAACTAAAGATGGAAAAGACTGGAGGACATCTCGTCCACCCACGTGGTTGTACAAGAAAAGTGGCCGGAGCAAAGCAGCCTGTTCACGTCATGCTCACAAGACAGCATCGCAGGTCTTCCTGGAGCGGAGCGATCGCAAACACGTTAAAATGAACACACAGTGCAAACACTCATACAAACCTTAAGAAAATACCTTTAAGTACATTATTTTCATAAAACGATTAAGAACTAAACTAAAGAAAGTGAGGGAATCCTGGATTCGATGGGTGGCGTCGGTGGGCGACGGAAGGAACAACTAAACAGTGAAGGTGGAGGTGTGGTTTGGATGACGAGAAAGCAGTTTCTCCTGGGACTGGCTGGATTTCCTGGTTTGCTGATCAAAAATCTGAGCTGGGAGGAAGAGAGGCTCTAAGCCCTTTCCCCTTCCTGCTCTCTCCACACCCAGACAGGCTCACCAGCTGCCAGGCTCTGATGGACACCCCCCAGCCCTGAGACGCTTGCTGACCATGTAGCAAAGCTGTTCTTGCTAGCGGCTCCACTTACCACTTGCCCGGTTGGCACAGAAGCAGCAGATCCTATAGAGTTTGTGTGACAGCAAGACCCATGAGTAATGGAGAGTCACCTCCAGGCACACTGAAGACCTCAACTGACTGGTCCCTACAGCTGCCTCACTTGTCTGTCCCAGACACTCTCCCAACTTGTCTTTCACTGTTGGAAGAATCCCTTATCTTCTACCTCTAAGTATCCACACTCTGGGGCCCTGATTAATATTTACATGGGCCGATCTGTCCTCACTCACCCAGTCACGCTTTATTGTGTGCTTCCTGTGCCAGGAGCGCCTTGGAAAACAGGGTGGGGGGAGTGTGACATCAGGTCCCATCCCAGGTTCCCAGCACCAGGGCGTGGGAAAGACTGGCCTTCCCAATCTCATGAAATAAGAGCCCACAAGAGGAGGAAGGTAGCAGCCTCCCTTACATCTTTGCCCACACACCGTCTCCGCCTGAGGACTTCCGGTCTTCGTGTGTTCTGAGCCTGTGGCGTGGATGGAACAGGTGGAGCAGAACAGAAAGGAGGGTTTCCAAAGGACCCACCATTTCATGAAATCTTTTTACAAAACACCACACACTGTTTCACAAATTGCAAAACACTGTTCAATCACTACTGATAAAAATAATCACTACTAAGTGTGAAGACTGCTTCATTTCACCATGAGCAAAGATGCTTTGTTTTTCTGTACCCAGACCCAGAGCCATAGCAGGCAGAGCTGAGGGCAGTAGGCCTGCTGCCAGCCCCTCCCTGCTGCTGCTTGCTGCATCCAGGCCCCAGCTCTGGCCAAGCAGTTCCTCAGGGGACACCCCGGGAGCTGTGCATGGGCCGTCTGCTCTGTGGAGAGGCAGGGCGGCCTGCCATGTCACACCCTGCTCAGAATGCCTCAGTAGAGAAGCTTAAGGTAAACCCGATATACAAAAATCCAAACTTACAAAACAGATACGTTAAGGGACAATTAATTGCATTACAAAAGGATTCTTTACAAAAGAATTCACCTCTGGGTTCCTTTAAGTAGCCAGCTTCTCAAGTACAGTCAGGAGATGAGCTGAGTTATAAAAATGTCCATACGACATTAGGAGCATGGCTGTTCCGGGAGTTGAGGTACACCTGTACATCCGGGCTACTCAGAGGTCAGGCGTGCACAGAGCATGACGGCAGCATCTACAGTGTCCCCAGCTGGTGCGGATGGGTGGGCACGGCTCAGGGGCATAATCTTTCAAAGGCCGTTGCAAACCTACTCCTGGGCCTAGGGTGAGAACAAGGGAAGACAGGGTGTTTCAAAGCAGAGTGGTCCTGCTTCCACAGCTCACCAGCCCCCTCCCTCACTGCTAAACTGTTCCATCTGTGAGGTGGATGGAGTCTAACGAGGATCCTCCCATCTCCTTCATTAGCATCTCTGCCTACATCCACCCCTGGGTTTTCTCAGACAATTAACTGATTAACAATTAACTGAAGTGTGATCTAATTACAGCTGAGGATGTTCTCTTTCCCTGGGAGACTGGGTAGCTCTTGGTGGCAATGCAGGGATTCCATTCAAAAAGTAGGCTGTGCCCTCCCAGTGATGGGCAGCTGTTCCAGGGCGCCAGGGCTTGGCTCAGCGCTGTGAACTCACTGTGGCCTTCACATGGATGGGGGTGCAACAAAGAGTACTGAGAAGATAAAGCAAATCATTGAAACACAAGGAAGCCTAGTCCTAAATGGTATGGGGCAGAGCAGGGGTGAAGGTGGGGGTGGGAGGAAGGGGCTGTACGGAAGGTGAGTGAGCAAGTGTGCGCTGAAGTTTTTATAAAACTCTCACACAGACTGTCAAATCTCAGAGGGAAGGTGAGGGAGGGTGAGTGGGTGAGAAGCGATCAACCAAAGAACTTGTATGCATATAGGCATAACCCATGGACACAGCCAATAGGGGGCTGGAGGCCTGGGGCGGGGGACAGGGCCGGGCTATCAGGGGTCAATGGGAAAGAAAAGGGGACATATGTAAAACTTTCAACAATAAAGATTTTAAAACAAGAAATAAGAAGACTCTCAGAAAGGCTCTTCTCACTTCTCCCATTGTCTGGGACTGCCACACCTTTAGTGTTTGCTGAAGAGTAATTTTTGGACCACACGCGTCAGTCACCTGGGGGTGCGGGTTAGCGGGAGGTTTCTGAGCTCACCTCCAGTCTCACCCCTGTCCCCGCCCATCCTCTGGGGAAGGAAGGGTCCGGACAACCAGCATTCTAACGAGTTCCTAGACGATTCTGTCTACACTGACATTGGGAGCTGATGTTCTCTAGTTCCCGTATGCCTTTACCTTCCTGCATGTCCGAGCAGTTGTACAGCGGGAAAGGGGTGCCAGGTAACTGATAGTAATCTTTTTCTTTTTTTTCCTGATATCAGTCTTTTAAGAGCATTCGATGAGGACTGGGAGAATCGGAGGGACCAAACCTATTCACAGCTCCTCAGAGAAAAGTGGGTGTGAGGCGGGGAGACTAACTTGGCTGTCAACAGAGATATGAAAAGCACGGGGCTCATTTCTGAGCGGCGCAGCCTGTGCTGTTCATGAGCTGGAGGCTCACATTTGGGCTTCTTAGATCTAAGAGCTAAGTGACCGCTGATCTGAACGGCCTTGTATGTGGTTTGCAGATCACGTTCGCTAAACCCCCAGTTACAGTAAGCAGGGCTGTTCCGGTTGCATCCTAAGGCCGCATCCTCGCTTTGCTTCTCTCTCTCCTTTACAGAAGGCACGCGCTGCCGTGGAGATGCTCAGCTGGGTTGCAAGCGTAGTCCTGATCATTTCTCAGCCAAATAGCTTTTCTGGCCCAGAGCTTTTGTTCTAAAAGCACGGCGTCTATTTTTAACGCCTCTTTGGCCTGTCCTCTGTCCCCGCTCACCCCATCCCTGTCCCCGTTCTCAACGGCAGGTAAACATATTCCTACTAAATGTCTGGATGGTGTCAGAGAGCTGGGGCCTTCTGAGAAATGAGGCTCTACGGGATCTAATCAAGCCTGGGCCAGCCGCGATACGGATGAGTTCAGCCAATGTCTGGAAACACCCACTTCCCCGTCCTCAGCTTCTCTAGCTCTGACCCTGTGCCCCATTCACAATGCAGGAACAAATCTAGTTTGGGGAGTTGTGTCAAAACCACAATCCTGGCAACCCTGTTCTATACTGAGAATAAAACCAACAACCCAGTAAGACAAGGGAATGAGTAACAATTTTGTATCCCTTGTTGTCAGTGCAGAGAAAGGGCTGGAAACCAGAAGTCGTCCTGTGGCACCTGGTGGGAGGCTAACGGAGCTGGGGTTGTCTGTTAGTCGCAGATCCCTGGCCCCGAGCTCCCTCCTGACCAGTGTAGGATTCCTGCCCTGGGAGGCCGTTACCCTGGACACCTTGAGGGTGAGTGTGGGAAGAGCTGCTGCCCGACGGACGGGGCGGACTTGACCTCTAAGACCCAGACCTCAGCTCCCCATACCTTCGTCAGTGGTTACAAAAGAGCATCCCAAGGTGTCCCCAGGGCTCCGAGGAAGGCCAGGGGCCGAGGGGGCGCAGCGTGGCCACCTAGGACTCACGAGTCCGGCGCCCCCTCTGGTACTCCTCCAGCTCCGCTTTCCTGCTCACTGCCAGCTGCAGCTCCTGCCGGATCACCTGGATCTGCTTCTCCAGCTCCACCAGCTCCTGCATCACCGAGGTCCGTGCTCCCTGCAGGGAGTCCGCCTTCCCGTTGGTGGTCAGCGAGGCGGGGAGCTCTCTCCTCCGGGGAGGGAGAGGGATGTCCTGGGGGGCCCCCAGGACCGGCTGGTTTCGTCCTCCCTCCTCACTGAAGATGTATTTTCGCGGGATGTCGTGACTCTGATGGGAAGTATTCCACACGGAGAGCTGACGGGGTCCCTCCTTGCACCTAGGAAACAAAGAGGCGCTGTAGGCGTGGGCTGACCTGCCACCCGCTCCCCATCTGCCAGCCGTTTCCTGTGTGGATGCTGCAGGGCTGGGTCACACTCGGAGATGCAGGAACGGAGCAGTCCACAGCCTGCCTGCCAGCTAGCACCACGGGGATGAAAGGAGCCAGCACACGGAAGGCCGAGGTCTTACCAAGTCTTCTGCTGCCCTGAACCTGGAATGGGAGTATGCACTGGAGGGCTGACGGCCGGGGTGTGGCACATTCTCACACAAAGAACCTTAGATGCCTTTTTATTTCCTTCCTGCCCGTTGGGCTCGGAGATCAGCACTGCCTTGAAAGGGTCTGTGGCTAGAAAGACGGCGCTTTAGTAAAAGTAGGAATCAGTTTCTTCAGCTGTGGGACTCTGAGCATGCGCCTCAGGGTAGGTACTATAGTGTGACTTAACTGTCGTCTCGCAGGACCACCTGATATTTACTGCTTGAGTCTGAGATAAAAGCATACACGTTGCAGGTTTCAGCAAAACATTTCTCATTACAGGGATGGCTTTATGTGTGTTGAGACTGACAACAACAACAGCAGCAGCAGCAGCAAAACACAAGAAAGCCTCAAGTTCTGGCCTGGATAATGAAAGTCAAATAGAAATAGACTCGCAACGCTCTATCAGGCTTGCGTCGAACCACCCACCACCATCTCAGAGAGATGGCTGCAGACAGCCAGCGAGTCACTGCTGGCCAGGCATGGAGGAGGAGGATCTGGTTTCTGAAATACACTTTGACAGTGGATGCAATGAGAAGAGTTTCTTGCTATAAGAACAGATTAGAACCCAAGCAGCAAAGCTGCTGATTTCTTCCAGCCTTGTTGGAGGAGGAGGAGGAGGAGGGGAGGGAGGAGGAGGCAAACAAGGAGAAGAAGGAGGAAGAGTAAGGGGAGGAGAAGGAAGGAGGAGGAGGAGGAGAAGAAGAAGTAGGAAGAGGAGGAGGAGGGGAGGAGGGGAGGGAGGAGGAGGAGGGGGAGGAGGGGAGGGAGGAAAAGGAGGGGAGGAGAAGGCAGGAGGAGAAGGAGAAAAAGGAGAAGGAAGTGGAGGAGGAGGGGTTGGGGAAGGAGGAGGGGTTGGGGGAGGAGGAGGGGAGGGAGGAAAAGGAGGAGGAAGACAAGGAGGAGAAGGAGAAGGAGGAAGAGGAGGAGAAGGAAGGAAGAGAAGGAGAAGAGGAGGAGGAAGAGGAGGAGAAGAAGAAAGAGGAGGAGAAGAGGAGGAGGAAGAGGAGGAGGAGAAGAAGAAGTAGGAAGAGGAGGAGGAGGGGAGGAGGGGAGGGAGGAGGAGGAGGGGGAGGAGGGGAGGGAGGAAAAGGAGGGGAGGAGAAGGCAGGAGGAGAAGGAGAAAAAGGAGAAGGAAGTGGAGGAGGAGGGGTTGGGGAAGGAGGAGGGGTTGGGGGAGGAGGAGGGGAGGGAGGAAAAGGAGGAGGAAGACAAGGAGGAGAAGGAGAAGGAGGAAGAGGAGGAGAAGGAAGGAAGAGAAGGAGAAGAGGAGGAGGAAGAGGAGGAGAAGAAGAAAGAGGAGGAGAAGAGGAGGAGGAAGAGGAGGAGGAGAAGGAAGAGGAGGAGGAAGAGGAGGAGGAGGAGAAGAGGACCACTTTTGCAATCTACCACAGGGTCAAACAAAATAAAAATGCTCTATCTGGTTCTTGTGCCTTGGTCCCTATCCATATAACTAAAGCAAGACTTTATTCCTGGACTCTCACTTGCCAGGAAGAGAGGAGAGGACCTGCAGGGGGAGGGATAACAAAGTCCTGATTCAGTTACATGGATGACTTCACAGGATGATTCTATTTCATTTCCCCTGTGGCAGATGGCAAAAGTGGTCACAAGCCTTTGTTCCTCCTTTCATCCCTGCTCCTCATGCTTATCACGGGGAGTTCAAGGGCGGGAGTGCTTTCCCTCCACTTTGAATTCGGTCCGGTCTCAGGACTGCTCTGGGCAAGAGAAAGTGGCAGAAGTGGCAGAAGCTCCACGCCCAAACTTTTAAGAAACCTCATACACTTCCACTGTCTCTCAGAACTGCTGCTGCCACGTGAGCAAGTCCAGGCTAGTCCGCTGGACGGCAGCAGACCATTGGAGAGAGTCCCAGTCTTCCCAGGTGGCCCAGCCCAGGCCATCACAGACAATGCCAGCCCCGAGCAGCTGCCCCCACCCCACAGGCGGGCTGCAGACATGTGAGCAAATGCAGCCAAGATCAGCCAAGTTTGGCCCAGATCAGTAAATGGCACAGCTGACCCATAGATTCATAAGCGACTCACTGTTGTTTAAAACATTGAGATAATGTCTTACAGTAAAAATTAACTGTTACATGCCCCAAGCTATTAAAACACACAAACACATTCTAAACTACCCTGTAGTTCTTTAACATTTCTCATGGTCTAAGTCTCATATACATGAGCAGGGGGTACCAGACCTTACCTCTCATGTATCCTGGGCTGGGTAAAATTCTATAATGAACCCACTTATCCCTGGATCAGAGATGTGGTTATAATTTTCCTTCTAGCCTTATGCTTCACTTTAAATTTCTCTTCAAGTGATTTCCTATTGAGTTTGAATAATTTCAAAACAATCTCATTAGCAATGTGTGTTATATGGTTTACAATTTTTGTGTATCTTGGGGTGAGAGGAAAGGGGGGTGTATTGGAAACCCAGTGGGGTGAAGGAGAGACCAAAACTTACATGAAATCACATGTTAAAGGGAACCAAGGACTATATGTAAACAGTCTCTTGCAATATCCACTTTTTTTCTCTGCTTTAAATAAAAATAGAAGCAGCATCAACTTTCAGACCATGGCCTAAAATTCTTCCCAGGCTTTCCTCAAACACACGTTAGTAATTCACTTATTTATCTACTAGTGGCCCGGTGCACAAAATTCGTGCACATCAAAAGGGACTTAATTAGAGGAAATATTTTAATATTGCTATTTGCCGTTTCTCTATAATAGAAGAGATGAAAGAAAATTAGTAAAATGTATATGAAAATCTCCCTCCTGTCAGAGTCTGGGATGCACCGCGGGACCCAGAGTCAAATCCCTTCCCACCACCTGCATGCACTTCGAAAACACAAGAGACCCAGATCCGATTGGCCCCACCCCCATTGGGTAAGACCCAGACCTGGTCAGCCCCACCCCTGTCAAGCCCCTGGGGGGGGGCGCAGCCTCAGGTCCCCCAGCCCAGCACGGGGGCAGAGGGCATGGCCTGAGGTCCCTGTCAAGCCCTGCGAGTGAGGGGCGGGACCTGAGGTCTCCTGACCCAGAGCTGGGGTGGGGGCATGACCTGAGGTCTCCCGTCAAGCCCCACCAGGAAGGGGGTGCAGCCTGAGGTCCCCTGTCAAGCCCCACAGGGTCGTTAGTGCCCTGAGGTCCTCCTCTAGCCCCACAGGGTGGGAATTCGGCCTGAGGTCCCTGTCAAGACCCGCCAGGCAGAGAGCATGGCCTGAGGTCCCCATTAAGCCCCACTGGGCCGGGGGGCACAGCATGAGGTCTCCCGGCCATGTGCCAGGGTGGAGGGCGCAGCTTGAGGTCCCCCGTCAAGCTCTGCTGGGCAGGGGGTGTGGCATGAGGTCTCCCGGCTCATTGCTGGGGCGGGGGATACACCCTGAGGTCCCCTGTCAAGCCCGTCAGGTGGGGGCTGTGGCCTCAGGTCCCCATCAAGTCCCGCTGGGGTGGGGGGCGTGGCCCGAGGTCCCACAACAAGCTCTGCAGGGCAGGGGGCGTGGCCTGAGGTCCCTCACCCTGGCCAGGTGCCATGCAGCCTCAGGTCCCTGCTTGCTGTTCGGTTGAAACTTTAGGTTGTCCTGGCTAATTTGCATATTCCTCTATTATATAAACAGACTAGTGGCCCAGTGCACGAAATTCGTGCACAGGGGAGGGGGTGTTCCTCAGCCCGGACTGCACCCTCTCCAATCTGGGACCCTTCGAAGGATGTCCTACTGCCAGTTTACAGGAATCGGGCCTAAACTGACAGTTGGACATCCCTCTCGCAATCTGGGACTGCTGGCTCCTAACTGCTCACCTGCCTGCCTGCCTGCCTGATTGCCCCTAACCACTCTGCCTGCTGGCCTGCTCGTCCCCAACTGCCCCCCTGCTGCTGGCCTGCTTGCCCCCAAGTGCCCCCCGCCAGCCTGATCACCCCCAACTCCCCCCCCGTGCCAGTGTGTTCACCCCCAACTGCCTTCCCTTGCCAGCCTGCTCACCCCAACTGCCCCCCTGCCGGCCTGCTCACTCCAAACTGCCCCCCCCCCTGCTGTCCTGATCACATCCAACTGACCCTCACTGATGGCCTGCTAGCCCCCAACTGGCCCCCCTGCTGGTCTGCTTACCCCCAACGGCCCTGCCCCCCATCATCCTGATCACCCACAACTGCCCTCCCCTCTTGGCCTCTAACCGCCTCTATCTCAGCCTCGCCACCATGGCTTTGTCCAGAAGAATGTCCTGAAGGTCTCCTGGAAGGTCTCCCAGTCTAATTAGCATATTACCCTTTTATTAGTACAGATTGCTTAATTCCTTCAACAAATATGAAGCACACAGGAGGGATGCCAAATTGTAGCAGACATGTGCATTTGCATAGATAAAGAGAGTTTTCAAGCCAGTGAAACTAACATAGTCCCATAGAATGATTCATAGGTGAAAATCTGTGAGTAGGGCATCTATCCACAGGTTTTACTGGACTGCCCAGGCAACCACAGAAATCAGGTACACAGAGCTAATCTGGTTTTCTCCAGAGCTTTCCGAACACGTATCCAGGAACAGAACATAGAAGAATATGTTCCCTGACAAAATCTAGCTCCGTGACAAACTCTAGCTCCTAGCATCACAAGTGCTCTGATAATCGACAGGTGGCTCTGGACCACCTGTGAATGCCAGTCGGCAGATGCTGAGTGTCAGACTTGGTGTCTAGTTGGAAGGAATGAGTGTGAGACACTGCTGCCCTCCCACAGTGTAGGCTGTGTGTGTGTGTTTTAAAATCATCCTTTTATTATTCTTGAGTATAAGAACTTAATAATTTTAAATGCCTTCTTTGTAATTCAACTGTAAATTGCAATGTCAAGCTTATTGTAAATTCTAAACCTAACATGAGTGGAGAGTTGTTTTTTTTAAAAATATATTTTTATTAATTTCAGAGAGGAAGGGAGAGGTGATAGAAACATCAATGATGAGAGAGAATCATTGATCGGCTGCCTCATGCACGCCCCACACAGGGGATTGAGCCTGCAACCCAGGCATGTGCCCTGACTGGGAATCAAACAGTGACCTCCTGGTTCATAAGTTGACGCTCAACCACTGGCCACGCTGGCCCGGCTTGAGTGGAGATCTTTAAAAGATATATTGTCTCTGAGGAGCAGGTAAGGATTGAAAAATTTATAACCTAATTAATCAAGCCCTAGACTTGACTTTAGGTGAGGTTCCCTTGGGTAGGTTGTGTTTTGTATCAAGCCTTTCTCAGCCTGAGAGTATAATGTGGCCAGTGAGTGAACTGTACTTAACACTAACAAATGAGCCAAACAAGCTTCCACCGAGCAATGGTGGAACGGAGAGGTTCGATACCCACTAGGGACTACTAGGCCAGTGACGGCGAACCTATGACATGCATGTCAGAGGTGACACGCGAACTCATTTTTTTGGTTGATTTTTCTTTGTTAAATGGCATTTAAATATATAAAATAAATATCAAAAATATAAGTCTTTGTTTTACTATGGTTGCAAATATCAAAAAATTTCTCTCTGTGACACACGGCACCAGAGTTAAGTTAGGGTTTTTCAAAATGCTGACACGCCGAGCTCAAAAGGTTCGCCATCACCGGACTAGGCCATTCAGAAGATTGCACGACAGCCGTGGGACCTCAAACACTCGCCGCCTTCGAAAGGTTACAGGTGGGTGTTGGTTACAGGAAGTGTGGACCCAACATAACCCACGAGGACATGTTCTGCCCCAGGGCCTTCTCAAAAGGAGGGGTTCTGGAAGGGGATTTGCCAAGAAGAGTGGATAAGTTGAGGGAAAGACACATTTGGTCCTCAATTTAGGCGAAAGAGATGTGTTTAGGATTCGCATCACAGTCGGAGCTGGGCTTCCTGCTTCTATTAGGTTGGAAAACAAATGCCTCGTCATTATGAGATGATGTCTTTGCTGCTGTGCCTTCTGCATTCCTCCGGTTAAAACTTCATGTCAAAATAATTATAGAAAAAAATGTATGACATAGAACAGCTGTGACCCGTTCCGCCTACAGCTTGTCGCTGACAGGGCCGCAGTATATGGAACAGGAAGACCACAGACTGAGTGGCAGGGGGGCTGCTCACCGACTGGGAAGAGAGGCTTTAAGAGACAGCGGAAATGATCCCGACAGGCTAGACGCAACCTGGAGAGGAGGGCGCTGCGGCAGTATCAGAGGAGGTTCAAACAAGAAAAACAAATCATGTTTTCCACCCTTGCCTTTCCTTCTGTTACAGAAGTGTGAGTGTCAGATTTCAAAATTACCCAGAAGGCCTAGCTTTGAGCCCAGGATCTGTCATCCATGACAGAGTTGCTGGCAGGTAATGCCCTACACTGAGGGCCCTGGCATATCAATGAACCAGGAACTTAGGCAGCCAAGCCAGGAACCAGACCCAAAACGCTTCTGACATCCTTAGCCACCCACCACGAGTGAACAGGCAACAGTTGTCCCCAGGTTGGATGTGGGGAAGGTGTGACGTTTTGATTTTCAAATGTCATCTGTGCATTTAATGCTTGTTAATTTCTGGTAATGAGCTGCTCTTTTCTGGGGAGTTTGGCGTAAGAATGCCAGGAAATGGATGAAGCAGAACATGTCTGCTGCATATTTCAACTCCTGGGAGTGCTAGAATGGAGTGGGGCGTGGAAACATGCCCAGAAGGCAATATTGAGTGAATTAATTACCTGCAGTTAGTCATGAATTGTGTTATGTGTATTTTGAACACAAGAGCGATTGCTAAAATAGTTTTATTTTCAGGGCTTTCCATGTATTTTCTCATTTAATTTTTATAGCATCTCTAGGGAGCAGGTACTGTTTTTAACTCAATTTCACATAGGAGGAAACTGAGGCATGGAGAGGCTAAATAACTTGCCCAAGGCCATGCATATTGTAAGCGTCTGAGACGGGATTTGGACAAATATTGTCTATGCTGCCTTTCAGTGTTCACAGATGTGCAGATATGGTTTCTGTCTGTTCTATTTCTATTTGAAACGACATCTTCTTTTACTCATTATGTTTATCAACATCTTGGTCCTAATCTATCTGAATTATTTATACACTAGAGGCCTGGTGCATGAAATTTGTGCAAGGGGCTCGGCCCTCACAGCCCCAGCTTCCTCTGGAAGGTTGTCCGGAAGGTTCTTCGGCTGTCCAGTCTAATTAGCATATCACGCTTTTATTATTATAATTTTCCTGTTGAGCACGGAGTCTCAGTTCATCTCTAACCTTTTACATTAACAAATCTGAAGAAACCCAGTCTCTTCTTACCTCTTATCCACACGTTTAGTCTTGAAACGCGGCTGCTTTTCCTCTACGAATGACGTGTTTAGCGCTCTGTGTAATCTCTGGCAGAAAGAACAGAGTCACACACAGAGGTTATTAGAAACACACAGTCAGGGCCAAAGCACTGCCTGAGATTCAACGGTGTATCTCGTCATTACAAGCCTTGGCCTCTGTAAACAAATGTCCAGAGGTGCCCGAAACGGATCAACATTCAGCCCCAAATCTCAAGAGAACAAAAATTCTAAGTCTACTAGTAAGTTATTCTACAAGGAGGGGAAAAAAGTAATTTGATAGGAAGCTTAGAAAAGCTCTGGGTTGTAAAAAGGTATGTGATATATAGAAGAGCTGTCACACTAAGGTGTGACAAAGGGCCCAGTGCACTTGCTAAAGGTGAGTAAAAATAAAAGTCTGCCCCAGCCGTAGGCAGCTGCCTAGGTTGCTGTGTACCTAGGTAAGTGTTACACAGCTGGGAGAACAGCAGCCAGAAGCTGGTTGGCATTCTGGGCCTGGTTCATACCAACTCTGTTGTTAACTATACCAGGATGCCTGCATAATAAAAAAAGAAAAAAAAAAAAAGAAGAAGAAGTCTGAACTCCCCAGCAGCTAAAACAAAGAAGGAAAGAACACTTGAGAACAAAACTGATCTGTGGAGTTCTCTTTTTTTAAAAATATGTCTTTATTGATTTTACAGAGAGGAAGGGAGAGCGGTAGATAGATGCAAACATTGATGAGAGAATCCCCACCAGGGACTGAGCCCGCAACCAGGGCACATGCCTTGATTGGGAATCGAACCGGTGACCTCTGGTTCATGGGTTGACCCTCAACCACTGAGCCACACCAGGCAGACTGGAGTTCTCCTTAAGAGACAAAATACTTCCCAGGATGAAGGTAGGAAAACAGGGTTCAAGTGTAACCAAACCAGTGATAGTAACCTACCCAGAAAAAAAAACCACTACTGTGACAACAAAGTGGTCAGCAAAAACAGATGAATGGGGCAAAAGTGGCCCCATTTTCTGAACCATTGAAAATTCAGAGAGAACCAGGGCCGGTGGGCTCAAAGGGAATCAGGGAATTCAAGCTCATTTAATGGGTTTCAATTTTGGCATGAAAAGAATCTGTAGGGAAAAAAATCTTTCACAGCATCTCCTCAGATTGCCACTATTTAAGTGAAACCAGGTTTAAAAAAACCCAATTCTATTGCTTCCATTGTGAGCAGCAGTGGAGGGTTATAGAAAAGGAAGGGGCTTTATGGGAGAGCTTAATTTAAGGGGAAAGTGAATGAATGGGATGGAGGAGATTGACCTGGACACGGAGGGTGTCTACACCACCTCAGTTCTCTTGGTAACGTGTCACTGTCGGTCTGACTTGGAGCTCTGGATTCTCCCACTACTGGGAATTCTGACGGTTGGGAGCATCAGAGCAAGACGCCCGCGTCACTCACCTGACTGGTGTGGAGCCAGTACTGCAGCCTCGACTTGTTCTTGATTCGTGGTAGCAGCAGCCTGTACACAATGTGCTCACCAATGGCTGTCAAGATGGACAGACCCAACCCGGCGCAGAGCAGCACGAAGAGCCCAGAGAAGTGCTTGATGCCCATCTGCAAAGTCTGGGGCAGAAGAGAAAGGAGAGGCCATGGGTGTGATGCTCCATTTGCACCCACACTTGTTCGTTCGTGGATGCAGATTCTTTTTCTCCTAGACCCTGAGGATGCAGAGTCTGTGCCCCCTGCGTGCCCTGTGGACCCCATTTTCATTGCACTGTGAAAGCAGTCCAGCCAGGATGGAGCGCAGGTCCTAGGGTCCCACTCACACATAGTCCTGTTGTATGAATGGCCCTGGACTTGTGCAGGGGTCCTGAGTCCGGACCATGCTACAGCTTCTACAGAGGGAGGGAGGGAGAGTCCGAGAGATGAAACAACTTGATATATTAAAACAGTGAATAGTTATCAAGAAAAGAACCTCTCTCAGGGACGTGGAGTGAATAGGTTTCAGGGGAAAAGATGATGAATTCAAAAATTTTGAAATTTAGCTCTGGCAGGAAACACGGAGATCAACTAATTCCATGTACTAATTTTACAGATGCGGAGAAGTGAGATAAATTGAGCCAGATCCCCAAATTAGTCAGCCACGGAGGAGAAATTGAAGCCACCTAATGCTTGCTGATTGCTTACTCTTTTGCCCGGAGATAGGTATTATAACTGCAATATATAATTGAGGAAACTGAGGTCCCTGCAGGTTTTAGGTGGCAGAATTGGTCTGCAGGTCCAAGTTTGTTTTGCTCCGAAGCCTGGGCTCTGCTGCCGATACAGTAACCACAGTGACAGTAACTACATGTGGCAGCACTTGGCTAAGCGATTTACATGTGCTACCTAAGAGGACCCTCCCGAGTTCTCTACGAAACAGGTATTATTCAGTCACTGACATCGATGGCAAGAGTCAGTCACGCAGAAGGATGGACCTTGGATAGGCTGAGTGCCTACTGCGTGCCAGGCACTCTTCCAAGTCCCACAGGAGGAGACAGGACGGTTTTGTCCTTGCCTTTAATCAGCCTGAGTCTGGGGAGGAAGCAAACCTGTATACCGTGATACCTGACTCACACCCCCTGGGCTCTGTGGAGAAGCTGACTCAGGAGGTAAGATTTAGAGTAGGAGAGGCAGACGGGGAGGCTCGGCTGGAAAAGTACCCGTTCTAAGCTTATGGTGGTGGGAACAAAAAAGAAAAGGCGTAACCTTCTGGCACAGTGATGTAACAGGGGTTGTGAAAGGGACTGTAACTTAGGGGTAGGGTGCAAGAGGCATGTGTCGTGAGGGAGGGCAAGCCCTGGGATGCCTGGGTGTCAGCCCTTTGCTGGAGGCTTTTGGTCGTCATCGTCATCATCATCATCATCATCATCATCATCAATATTTACTTAACACTTAATATGTGGAAGGCACAGTTCTGATCTCTTTATCAGTGCAGCAACTTGTTTAATATTCATAACGACCTATCAGGTGGGTCCTGTTATCTCCATCTTATAGGCAAGGAAATTTAGGAACAAACGAGTGAAGTAACTTGTTCAAGGTCGCAGAAGTAGGAAAGGTTAGAGCTGGGGTTTGAACCCAGGCAGTCTGGCTCCAGAGCCTACACTCTTTTTTTTAAAAAAGTTTTTATCGCCCAACCAGTTTGGCTCAGTGGATAGAGCATCGGCCTGCGGACTGAAAGGTCCCAGGTTCGATTCTGGTCAAGGGCATGTACCTTGGTTGCAGGTACACCCCCAGTAGGGGGTGTGCAGGAGGCAGCTGATCAATGTTTCTAACTCTCTATCCCTCTCCCTTCCTCTCTGTAAAAAATCAATAAAATATACTTAAAAAAAATAAAAAGTTTTTATTGATTTTTCGAGAGAGAGAAAGGGAGAGATAGAAACATCAACATCAACCTGCTGCCTCCTGCACGCCCCTTACTGGGGATCGAGCTCAAAACTCGGGCATGTGCCCTGACCTGGAGTCGAACCAGCAACTTCTGGGTGCATGGGACAACACTCCACCAGTGGGCCACACCAGCCGGCCAGAGCCTACCCTCTTAAACAACTCGTTTGACTGGTGTGGGTGAGCCTCCCATCCTCTTGCAGAGATTTCCCTTTCTTTCATTTTCCCACCTCCACTCCCAGTCCAGGAGAAACTGCCAGCCAGGCACGGCTCAGGCATGGCGAGGCGTCCTGGGTATTCCAGGAAGTGTATCTAGGGGGCAGCGTTCAGGGGCAGAGCTGGGGGACCTCAGGCTTTGGTGGAGCCTGGGCCACAGATCTGGTTTCCTCCATGACGCTAGTTCAGGCTGTGGCTCAGGCTCTAAGGTCGCTGGGGAACTAATGACTACAGGTGAGCAGGGACATAGCAGGTCCAGGTCCAGGGGGCTGAGACACAGGCAGGAAGAGTGGGTCGACCACCCGAGGATGCCAGCGGAAGCCAGCCCTAGGGAGAGGAATGCTGGGCCCCAGTAGGGCTTTGTGAGGAGGCATACGGGGCCCGAGGGCTACACAGGTACTGGAGCTTTCCTGGGACGTCTCTCTACAGGTGGTGTCCATTGTATCACTTCATCTCTGGAAAGTACATGCAAATGTGTTTGGAAATAGCTTTTGGCCTGCACCTGTCGTAATGGACACAGGAACTAGCCATCACAGAAGGACTCAGTGTGCTATTACTGCTACGGATGAAGAGCAAACTGCGGCAGTTCACTTTGGACTTGAACATCATCAACCATTCAGCAAAACACTGAACAGACTGGCACTGCTTTCTGAGAAGGCGCTGCCAAGACGAAGAAGAGAAGTGGAACACACAGAGTCATCTCGCCTTTAAACACACGGCTTCCCTCTGTGTGTCCTTGTGCAGCCAACAGTCTCGTTTTCCTCTTACCACCTCAGTAACAAAGAGGCTGTTTCAGCTTATTTTATACCTCTCTCCCTTCAAATTTCTGTTGTTTACACCCACACACTAATGGACAAACACAAGTGGTTACTTTTTAAAACTGGGCATCTAATATAGAGATTAACGACCTAACCCACCATCACACGGCTAACGAATGGGGAGCCAGGCTGTGGAGCCAGGTCTGTCTGTGGCCAAAGCCCACACTGCCTTTCAAACGAACACCATTGACAGATCCCTGGCCATCTGAGCTCTGTCTATTCCCCCTAACAACTCGCAGACATTTTTATTCAAAACTCACCGTCGGAATTGAAAACCCGCAGGAACCTGCCTGTGAGCGCCACTGGAAATGTTTACAGTGTGTCGGAGCCTGAGTGTGCGATGCACAGCTGCAGCTGCAGTTCGGCCGCTCGTCCCCCAGGACCAGGGTGAGCGCGCTGTACTTTTCCAGCCGAGCCTCTCCTTCTGCCTCTCTTACTCTTCGTGCACCTCCCCCCTCCTCCCCCGCCGCCACCATCCCAGGAGAACTTGTTTTCAAATAAGGTGGGACCTACTCAACTTGACATATATCACTGGTCGGAGGAAGGAGGAGGAGAGGAGCAATGAATATTCAATGTCAGATCTTTAAAATAAAGTTCAGTGATGTAGACAAAATGATGATTGCAGTTGTGACATGAGAAGAAACATCACATTCAGAGACACAGTAACAGCCCAGCCTCATGCTGTCGAGAGCTGCATAATGAGAGCGAAGAACTGCAAACTAAAGTGTGTTTTTTATTTTCTTCATTGTTTCACCTACAGCTTCAGCTGATCACTCAGAGTCCACACTCCCAAGGGCCGAGGACAGAAGACTGTCCCAGGATTCAGCCAGGGACAGATCTCAGTCATTGATGGCTCCCCTCTGTCCTTCCAAGCTCACTCTGGCCCACCCAATCTCACTGAACTGTTTTATCAATAAGTAACCATTCCCCAAATTGCAATGGGTGGGGCTACCAGATCAGATGCTGCAACTGTTTTGACTTTGGGTGTACCACAGCCACTGTTAACAGCCATTCCCAGTGTTGCCGGTGATGCCCCAGTCACGGGTGCTCACTCCTCCAATAACCCTGCTCTATAATTAGCCCTGTTGTCCTGTTTTCAATATTCTCCTTTGTGTTTTTCCAATTAGCGAGGCTAGTTTTGAATGCTTGTTTTCCCCGCCTCCTTTTGTCTGAATCATATTTATATCGTTTGCCCAATTACGCATTTCAGAAAAGTTTGAAAAAAAGCTATTAACCCCTTTCCAAACATATTGATGTTTCTCCATTTTTAAATTTCCCTGTTAGCTTTTATTATTGGACAGTGGTTTGAAATGTGATACAGCTGTGTTTGTGTTATGTGAACTCTTCTGTTGTTGCAGTCGTTAAAAAAATACCATTTGTTGGGATAAATGTTTTATGACCAGTTGTTTTATTTTTGAAAAGAATGACCGTGCCAGTCCACCTAGAGCTCCTGTCCTGAAGAGTGGAGCACGTTAGTTTCTCCAGGGGGGAAATTTCAGCCCACGCTTCAGAGGTAATTTATCCAAGAAAAGGCCACCCCACCCTGGTAATTTTGATTTTTAAGAAATCTTCCGATTTTTGAAGATTTTGGCAAATAAAATATTTGTGAGGATAAACACCAGGTAAAACTAACAGTGCAACAATTTATTTGTGGGTCAGATTTAGCCTCTGAGCTGTTAGATTGAATCTGTTGATTTATATGGCTTTATTGCTGCTAGTGTCCTTTCAATGTTATGGTGTTTCATTTGAAAAAGACCTCTCCTTTTCAAGTCATGCAAAATAGATAGAACAAGGTAGCCAGAATAACTACCTACTCTACATGCTAACAGAGAGGATCAAAAGCATAAGGGGAGAATGGAGTTTGTAATTAAAAAAAAGAAAATTCCTCAAAGGTTTTTCCTTGAGAATTCTTCTAAAGCATGATAAACTTAGAGGATAAACCAACTGCTCTGGGTCCATATTTTGTTCTGTGTTTCAAAAGAAGTGTCTAGTGGTTTGGGGATTGCAACATATGGTAGAGAGCAGACACAGGCGGTTAATACAGGATTCATGAGGACATATTGTTACTGATCTCTATAGACTCAAAGGATGCTGGCTGCTGTTAGCAGTTTAATCTAAATACTGTCACTATTTTTTAAGATGCGATGAAGGCGGAAGATGATTTAAGAC